GTGTTGGGACCCTGGAGGCCCCTGTCGCCCGAGACATCCTCGGAGAAGGACTCGAGTCCCAAAACCGTGCGGTGACCCCGAATCCCCACCGACTCGACGCACGGTGTGGTCACCACACCGTTTGGGGGCCCCCGAGAGAAAGCTGCGGCATGCGCAGACTGCCATACGAGAAGAAGAAAGAGATGGCAAAGACATAAACTTTCGACGGTCCGCGCGGATTTCTTGGATCTGCGCTGGACCCTCTCCCTGGTGCGCGGAGCGCGCCAAGGGCGGTGCCGGAGGCGCCGCCATGGGGGCCCAGCGCGGATCCAAGAAATCCGCGCGGAGCGCCAAAAGTTGAAGTTTATGGCGTGTTGTCTTCTTCTTGTTCTTCTTCTTCTTCGAGAAAGAGAGAGAGAGAGAGAGAGAGAGAGAGAGAGAAAGAAAGAAAGAAAGAAAGAAAGCCGTGGCATGCGCAGACTGCCATAACCCGAGCAGGGCAGAGACCACAGCCACACTCACAGGCACGCTCTGCGCGGCCACACCTGCAGCTGGGAGGGCGTCCCAACCGCGGCCTCTGAGCCCCCAACAGGCTCACGGGCTCGAGCGTCGCAGAAAAGGCAGACAATCCGCCGACCCCCGCTTGCAGGGGGCGGAAAGGCGTGTGAGTCATTTGGCTGCCCCCCTCCCTTAATGGGCCCTGGAAACGACAGGGCCGTTTTTTAACGGTTCCATTTCGCCGCTTTTTTACAGGTTCTGACGCCGTTGTTTACCAGTTCCGTCGCCGTTATTTCAATGGTTCCGGCTCCAGCTCCAAACTTGGACTCGTTTTTGCTGCCGCTTCTGGTTGCCGTGTTTTTTGCAGCTTCCATGTTCAAGAGACACTTCTTCGGAAACGGTGAAAAAACTGCCCTGCCCTTCCCGGGGTCCACTAAGCACTAAGCTTAAGTCGGCCATGTCCCCCTACAGGGGGATTTCCGACAAAAATTTAAAATAGTTAAAAAATGCTCCAAAATGGTCGCAAAATACATAAGAAATAGTCCCCAGGCTATTTTTGAACTATTTTTGAATATTCTCCCATGTAGAGGAACAGGCCCGACTTAGCACTGGGCCCCCTCCCCCTTTCCCCCTCCCCAGGGGTCCAAAATGCGATTCTGGCGGGGGGGAGGGGGGCAACGGGCTCGCCAACGCGCAACTCGGGGGCTCCCCCGAGGCCCAAGACGGCGTGCAAGAGATGCCCAGGCCGGCTTCCAGGACGGACCTCGGAGGCCACCACAGCCGCCAGCACGGGTCCAAGACAGCCAAGACAGCCCCAAGATGGTCCAAGACCGCCTCGGGACCGCCAAAAAAGCCTCCAGGAGGCCTCCGAAGAGGGCCCCAAGAGGCCAAAGTCTTTGGCTTTCCTCACATGTTTGAAGGATTTCGGCGTTCTCGCCGTTGCGGCTTCCCGACGCTCCCAGACGGCCCTGGAGTCCCCCAAGACCGCCCCAAGACGGCCCAAGAGGCCTCCAAGAGAGTCCCAAAACGGCTCAAGAGGGCCCCAAGACGGCCCAAGAGGCGCCCAAACGGCCCAAAGGCCCAAAGACGGCCCCAAAAGGGGCCCAAGAGAGGGAACACGATCCGAAAATCCAAGCCTTCCGCCCCAAGAGACCCCCAAGAGGCACCCGGGAGGCCCCAATAGGTCCCCAAGAGCCCCCAAGAGGCCCCAAGAAGCCCCAAGAGGCCCCCAAGAGGCTCCAAAACGGCCCCCAGGAGGCGCTCAAACTGCCTCCAAGAGGCCCCCGAGAGGCCTCCCACGAGATCCCAACGAACATCCAGTAGGCTTTATGCCCACAAGCAAGGCACGGTGGCGGGATGGGCCGAAGGCCATGAGATCCGCCGCCCCCTGTCGATTCATCGCAGGGGTGCCTGGCGTGCTAGATGATTTCGGTGTTGGTTTTGGTTCTTTTCCAAAAGAACTCCCCCTGGGGCTCGGCGTGTCCCGCCGCGGTCCCGGGAAGGATCTCAAAACGCATCCGTCGATGCCTTTGTTGCCCCAAGTTGGCCCAAGATGGCCTGCAAGACGGCCAAGATTGCCCAGGATGGCCTCCAAGTTCGCCCAAGATGGTCCAAGATGGCCTCCAAGACGGCCCAAGAGGGTCCAAGATGCATTCTAAATCGTCCAAGAAGCCTCAAAACTGGCCAAGATGGCCCCAAAATGGCCTCAAGATGGCCCAAGAGGGTGCCAAGAGGTCCCCCAGGAGAGCCCGAAGAGGCCAAAATCAGTGATTTTCCATTGGTTACTAAATGATTTGACATATGTTTCTTTTAAGCCTTCCCGCTGTCCAAGACGGACCAAGAGGCCCCCAAGATCGCACCCAGAGCACCCACGACGCCTACAAGATGGCCCCATGACGGCCCAAGGGGCCTCCAAGAGGGCCCCAAGAGGGCCCCAAGACGGGCCAAGAGGCCTCCAAGACGCCCAAGATGGCCTCCAAGACAGCCCCGAAGCGCCCCAAGAGGGCCCCAAGCTGGTTCAGAGAGGCCCCCAAGACGGCTCCCGACGGCGCCAGACGGGCCAGGAACCCACCAAGATGGTCGAAGTTGGCTCGAAGCTGGCCCAAGACGGCCCAAGAGGCCTCTAAGAGGGCCTCCAGGAAGGCCAGAAAAAGATGCACAGATTCACGAGTAATAGCAATAATAACAATAATAGCAATAATAAGGAAGATAATGATAACAAGAATGATGGTGCGAATGACAATAACAACAATAATAGTAATACTAATACTAATAATAATAATCACAATAATAATAATAATAATAATAAGCATCGTAATAATGATACAAATAAAAAATAATAATACTAATAATAAAAATACGATTAATAATAAAATAAAAAAACATAGCAAGAATAATACGTAGTACTATCATTCTCGTGTGTGTCTATATATATATATATATATACATATATATATATACATATACAAAAAAAAAAAGCGGATTGTGAAAGTTGTTTCTTTTCGGCCTTCCGACGGCCCGAGACGGCTCAAGAGCTCCCAAAGATCGCCCAAAGATCGCCCAAAGATCGCCCAAGAGGCCTCCAAGATGGCCCAAGAACGGGCCAAGAGGCCCCCAGGACGGCCCAGGAGGCCTTTAAGACGCCCAAGATGGCCTCCAAGACGGCCCTGGAGCAATCCAAGAGGACCGCAAGTCGGCCCAAAGAGGCCCCCCAAACGGCTTCCGACGGCGTCAGACGGGCCAGCAGCCCACCAAGACGGCCGAAGATGGCCCTCAGATGGCCCAAGAGGCCTCCAAGAGGGCCTCCAGGAAGGCCCGAAAAAGCAAAAATCCGTGATTCCACATGGGTTGTTGAAGGATTGTGGAATTTGTTTTTTTTCGGCCTTCCGACGGCCCGAGGCGGCCCAAGTGTCCCCAAAGATCGCCCAAGAGGCCCAAGACGGCCCCAAGAGGCCCCCAAGACGGCCCAAGGCCTCCAAGACGCTCCCTCCAGGCCCAAGAGGCCTCCAAGACGTCCTCCAAGAAGGCCCGAAAGGGTCAAAATGGCCTCCAGGCGGCCAAGATGACCTTCAAGATGCCCACGTGTTCCCCGAAGGCTTTCCAAACCGATTCGGGGAACACATGGTCCGACAGCTTGGCAGCTCTGGCCTCAACGTTCGGCCACATAGGCGCTTCCAAAAAGGCAAGGGGCGGTGGTGATTCGCCGTAGGCGTCTTCGATAACATTAACGATCGTGTTTTAGCTCTGACTTCTATTGGGGGTCGGCGGAATGGCGTAAGCTTCTTGAATAATGAAGCCTGGGCAACGTTTCAAACACTGGCTTGGTGACCAAAGCTGGTTGGCAAATATGCTTCTGCCCCATGCGCCCATCTACCTCGACCCCTGGCACTACAACACTGCTTGAAACATCAAAGACTCCCTCTGCGCTCTGCGCCCAAACTCAAATCTCAACGACATGGTCTGAATCCTGATGGGCACTGTCACAAGGTTCATTGCCTTCTTCTTGCTCCAAGTCGACGGTCTCTGATCCTGGATGTCCAATCTCTGAGCCGCACATGATGTGCTCGGCGATGCCACTAGTGTCATTATTGTCATTGCCCTCTTCTCGCTCCAAATCACCTGCCTCTGGCACTGTATTGCCTAACTCCGCGTCCTGCAGGCTGTGCTTAGTTGCGGCGATGCTTCCCCTGCGCCTGCGCATCCCCAGGTAAACCATCACGCTGCAGACCAAGAAGACGATCATGACACCAAGGATGATTGGCGTCGATGCCTCGAGGTCTTGTTGCCCCTCCACAGCTAAAGAGCCCCTCGGATAGCTCGTGGCCGACTCCGTTGCGGCGGTGGCGTTTGTCTTTGCAACGCTCGCGGTCGTCTCACTTGTGGCGGTGGTGCTTGGCGTGAAGGAGCCCGTCGCCGTCTCGGTGGAGACGCTGGACCTTGACGTGGAATAGCTCGCGGCCGTGGTGGCTATAGTGATTGTTGACGTGACGGACATTGTCGCAGTGGAGTCCGTGGTGGCGCTTGTCATGGTGGCGCTCGTCATGGAGAAGCTCGTCATGGTGGCGCTTGTCCTGCTGGAGGAGTCGGTGGTGGCCGTGGCAGTCGTAGCAGACGTCACGCTCTGGCTCTGTGTAGTAGGCGTCGTAGATGTAGTAGTCATAGAGGTTCCCGTTTCTGTCAAAGACGTCGCGCTCTGTGTAGTCATCGTGGCGGTGACGATCTTCAAATCTGGCTCTGCGACAACCAATGAATCCTGATCCAGTTCAAGTCCCTCCGACTCGAAAGCTGCCAGCAGAGCTAATGCAGTACCATTGCGGTCCGCGCTCATGTTCTCCATTGCTTGGAACAGTTCCTGGGCGGCATGCTCAGGCGCGACGATCTCGAAGCCAGTCTCCCACGACGAGAGCGCGGAGAGCCGCCGATTTGACGAATTGGAGATACCCGAGACAACTACCGTCAACTGGTCCTCTGCCAAAGTGTGCGCGGCAGCGAGGTAATGTGTCACCGTCGAGGCTATCTGCTCCATGCTCCCCGCGCTCGAGAACTCGAATCTGCTGCTCACGATCCAGAGCGGCGTCGTGGTGCTCGTCGCGGTCGCGGTCGCGGTCGACGTGCGGGTCCAGGACGTCGTCGGTGCAGGCGGCGGTGCCAGCGTGGGTGCTGGAGTGATTGCCGGCGTGGGTGCCGGCACGTCTCCTCAAGGGCTCCCAAATTCGCGCTCCGCGCTGCGCGGAGCGCGAAGCGCGAATAACTTCGCGCCCTCGTGGGAGGCCTCCCAAAAGGAGAAGAGGAGGACGAGGAGGAGGGGGAGAAGGAACGAGGACCGCGAAGCGCGAAGCGCGAATAACTTCGCGCCCTCGTGGGGGCCCTTGTCTCCTGGGCAAGCGCACCCTGTGCAATCCCACGAGTAGGCGTCTTCAAGGGATTGACAGGGAAGGCTGTACAAGTCCCACGCAGCATCACAGTCCGCTGCTCCATTGGCTGTGTAATCTTCGACGCAGACGGGTGGTGGTGGTGTCGGTGGAGCTGGCTTCTCGAATATACAACTGGAGGATGAAACTGCGAGGCTGGAAGCTGTTGTGATCGTAGATGCATTGCACAGAAATCCGCCGACCCCCGCTTGCCTCGGGTGCAAGGGCGTGTGAGATTGTTGGCTGCTTCCCTCCCCCTCTCCCCCTCCCCTGGGGCCCGAGGTCCAGCTTGAGGGGGGGGTGGGGGGGGTCGAGCTCGTCAAAGCATCCCCCAGGCCTCCAGAGCCTCCAAATCTAGAGTCCGTGGCCTCCGGGATGCCCAAGATGCCATCTAAGCTCACTCAAGCTGGGCTCCAAGACGCCGAGGAGTCGCCACAGACTACCCGGATGGCCTCAAGACTGCCCGAGAGGCCTCAGAGACGCCCCAAGAGGTCTCCAAGACGACCCCCAAGAACCCAGAATCGTCAAACAAACCATTGGAAAACGCGCGTTTTGAGCATACTCGCCTGTTTGGTCTTCATAGCGTCCAAGACGGCTTGAGATGCCCCTAAGATCGCTTCAAGACGAGCCACGAAGCTCCCAAGAGGGCCCCAAGACGGCCGAAGAGGCTCCCAAGACGGACCAAGAGGCGCCCAAGATGGCCCAAGAGAGCCCAAGATGGTCCCAAGAGGGGCTCAAGAGAGACAACTCGAACTGCAATTTCTAGCCCTCCGCCACAAGAGAACTTCCGAGACCGCCAGCAGGCGCCGACAAAACTCCAAAGAGGCTCGGAGAGGTCCCCAATAGGCCCAATAGAGGCCCCGAGAGGGTCCTCAAGAGGCCCCAAAACGCCTCACAGGTGGACTTTATCCCTCTCCTGGAGGTCGGCGGAATGGCGTAAGCCTCTTGAATCCGCCTGCCCACCGGGCAGAGGGGCGTGTGAGATTTAACTACGAGGGCTCCTTCTTCCAGAGCTTTGCCCCCCCCCCTTTCCCCCCCCAGACGCCTCCGCAATTCCGCCGCCTGACTGCGCTCAATCCCCTTTTCCGGCCCCAAGACGGCTTCCAAACGGCGTCCAAGACGAGTTCGATTTTCACACCGCCTCCAACACACTTTTCGGGCACATTTGGGCTCTATGTTGGCTCCTTCGGGGCCCCTCATGGGCTCCAAAATCAACTCGGGCCCTCAAGAACGGCTCTTGGGCTCAACCACGCGCACAGACTGGAAACCTGCAAAATATAGCAAAACACACAAATTGTTGATGATTTTCGCCTCGCCGGAGATCGCCCGGACGCCTCTTCTAGCTGACTTCTGGGCTCGCCTGGGGCATCTTTCAGCGTGTACACTTCGACACCGTCTGTGGACACGCTCAGGAGACAATTTTAGACGATCCCGGGCTCAACTTAAGCCCCCAAGCGGGGCCCAAAACGGCCCAGAACCGGCCAGGTTTTTACCGGAAGACGGACGGGGCTGCGGTCCCATGCGGGGATGCTCGCGCTTGGGGCGTCCAGAAGCCCGCCTGGGCCGCCTCGGGCTCGTCTTGGGCCCCTTTTGGGCCCTTCTCCGGGCCCTCTTCAGCCCTCCTTGGCGCCATTGGGGCCGTTTCCGATGCGTCTTTGGCTGGTCTTCGGCGCCGTTCTGGCTATCTCTGGGCTGCCTGGGGCCCTTCGTGGACTCTTTCTACACCTTGGTAGGCACCCGCCAAACGCTATTGGTGTGTTTTTCCCATGCGTTCGGCCCGTTTCGGTTGACCTTGAGCAATGCTCGGCTATTTCGGGCACCCTGACGCGGATGGGGCGCAAGGATGCGGAAAAGCCGACCTCCAGATCACTGATCCGTTCATAATGGTGGCGGACCGCAGACGAAAGGACAAAGTCACCATCGATGGGCCGCGCGGCAGACCTGAGCCCAATAAGCGGTGGGATGCAAAAGGAATGACACCCACGAAAAGACAACAAACCGCACCTACGGGGTCTTGTGCTATTTTCCGTCTATGTTTATCCAGTCCTGAAGCTGCCTCGCCTCATCAGGCGAGAGCAAGAATGGGCGGGCGGTGAACGCGAAGCGTCTTGAATACATCGTACGGAGACTCATCACAGCCCGCGTCATACACACCCCAGCAGGTGCTCATCGCTGAGCACTGAGATTGTGCTAAGGCCACCGTTGAATACGTATAGCCTGACAATGTCGCACCGGAACAGTGTTTCAAAGTGTGCTGAGTCCAGGACGTCGTCGGCACGTCGTCTCCCGGGCAAGCACACCCTGTGCAAATCCACGAGTAGGTGTGTTCAAGGGACTGGCAGGGAACACCGTACACATCCCACGCAGCATCACAGTCTGCGGCCCCTAGGTGTGTGTAATCTTCGACGCAGACGGGTGGTGCTGGTGTCGGTGGACCTGGCTTCTCGAAGACACAACTGGAGGATGAAGCTGCGAGGCTGGAATCAGTTGTGATCGTAGATGCATTGCACAGATATCCGCCGACCCCCGCTTGCCTCGGGTGCAAGGGCGTGTGAGATTGTTGGCTGCCCCCCTCCCCCCCTCCCCCTCCCCAAGGACCTGAAATCCAGCTTGAGGGGGGGGGGGGGTCGAGCTCGTCAAAGCATCCCTGGGGCCTCCAGGGTCTCCAAATCTAGAGTCCGTGGCCTCCAGGGTGCAGGGGCACGCCACGCGACTGCGTCAGCCTGCGAGGGGCGCGCGCGCTGCGCGCCTCAGATTTTTTCTCGGCAAACAATGTTTGGTGCACCCTTTTATAATCGAAGTCTCCGCCACCCCGCGCGGTAGCCACCCCGCGCTGCGCGCCTCAGAAGCACGCCAGCATACAGGGCAGCTTTTAATACATAGGATTTGCTGTATGACTTTTAATACATGATTTTAATTCACTGACAAATCAATGCAAACAATCAGTGCTTTTAATCATAAAAAATGAACTTGTAAAACATGATCCGCACGCGAAGCATGTATTAAAAACGGCACTGTCCACTTTTCGCCGCGAGCCAGCCGAAGTGCTGCACCTCTCGGACACGCATGTTTCGCGCCCGGGCGGCGCCTCCTTTGGGGCCATGAAAGGGCCTCCAGAGAGCCGAAGATGCCATCGAAGCTCGCTCGAGCTGGGTTCCGATACGCCGAGGAGCCCTCACGGACTGCCAAGATCGCCTCAAGGGACGCCCCGAGAGGTCTCCAGGACGACCCCCGAGAGGATCCCAAGAAGCCAGCGTGTTTTGAGCATACTCGCCTGTTTGGTCCTCACAGCGTCCAAGACGGCTTGAGATGCCCCTAAGATCGCTCCGAGACGAGCCACGAAGCTCCCAAGAGGGCCCCAAGACGGCCGAAGAGGCCCCCAAGACGGCCCAAGATGGCCCAAGAGAGCCCAAGATGGTCCAAAAGAGGGGCTCAAGAGAGGCAACTCGAACTGACATTGCTAGCCCAACGCCACAAGAAGACCCCCGAGACCGCCAGCATGCGCCGACGAAACTCCAAAGAGGCTCGGAGAGGCCCACAATAGGCCCAATGGAGGCCCCGAGAGGGTCCCCAAGAGGCCCCAAAACGCCTCACAAGTGACCTTTATCCCTCTTCTGTGGGTCGGCGGAATGGCGTAAGCCTCTTCAATACGTCATACGGAGACTCATCACAGCCCGCGTCATACACACCCCAGCAGGTGCTCATCGCTGAGCACTGAGATTGTGCTAAGGCCACCGTTGAATACGTATAGCCTGACAATGTCGCACCGGAACAGTGCTTCAAAGTGTGCTGAGTCCAGGACGTCGTCGGCACGTCGTCTCCCGGGCAAGCACACCCTGTGCAAATCCACGAGTAGGTGTGTTCAAGGGACTGGCAGGGAACACCGTACACATCCCACGCAGCATCACAGTCTGCGGCCCCTAGGTGTGTGTAATCTTCGACGCAGAGGGATGGTGGAGCAGGCGTCGGTGGTCCCGGCCGGCAGCAGCAACCACAGTTTGAATTAACCCAATATACGCCTCCCGCACATTCCCAACCGCATTGCCAATAGTTTTCGTCGCCAGAACACGAGTCGTAATACCCAGCGTCGCACGCGACCGCCATCCGGCGACCGCCCATGCGGTCGACGGTCAGATTTGTCATCGACACCATCTGGCGGCTGCCGGTCGAAAGCGCAGTCGGAGTAATAGTTGACGCTGGAGCTGGTAGCGGCGCCCGTGTCGTTGGCGACGCCGGTGTCAAGGGCAGAACACTGGCACCCTGTCCCAGCACGAACGCCACCATAGCCAGGAGAGCCAAGCGCGGCTCCATGCAGCGGCGCACTACCCAGGCGGTGCTCAGCACAAAAGGGGCTTGAGCCGACATGGCTTGAAGCCAAAACGGCTACGACGTGTAAATTGTGGCCTCTTATGGGCCGTGGGGGCCGCTTGGGGCCTCTTTGGAAGCCCTTGCGGGCCTCTTGGGTGCCTGCTGCGGCCTCGTGGGCCCACTCGTGGTGGACGGCTCGAAATGTCAGTTTGAATTCCCCCTCTTGGACCCCTCTTGGGGCCCTCTTGGACCGTCTCGGGCGCCTCTTGGACAGTATAGGAGCTCTCTTGGGCCGTCCTGGGGCCTTCTTGGGGGCCTCTTCCTCTTGGGCCGTCTTGGACGTTGTTAAGATCCCAGAATGACCTATGCTGTAAATATGTGTTCTCCCTCAGGGAATGTGGCAATCTTGGCCTCCAGAGACCCTCGGCGAGCATCGTGCAGATTTCTCGGGGCGTCTTGTGTGACTCTTAGGCAGCCTTGAGGCAATCTCGGGGCGTCGTCGACGCTGGCGGGATTATATGATATACAGGTATGTGTATGCATGTGTATGCATGTCGATGTTTATGCATATGTATATGTACATGGTGATGTACATGTATGTGTACATGTAGATGCTTTTTCATGTAAATGCATATGTATATGTAAATGCATACGGAACTGGATATGGCCATGGACATTGATATGTGTGTACGTGTTCGTATGGGAATACGCATGTGTATGTATACGGGCACGTCTTGTGTGTATATATATACACACGCATCGATGTCTGCTAAATGTAATAGTATATGGAAAATGGGCATGGCTATGGACAGGGATATGGGTATGCATATGGATATGG